GTAGTGGTGGTGGTGGTCGTGGTAGTCGTGGTACTCGTGGTAGTCGCGGTGGTGGTAGTAGTAGTAGTGGTGGTAGTAGTAGTGGTAGTAGTGGTAGTGGTGGCAGTGTGGTTGTGGCTGCTGCTGCTGCTGTTGCTGCTGTTGCTGTTGGTGTCGGTGGTGTTGTTGTTGTTGTCGTCGTGGTCGTGCTTGTGGATGTTGTTGTGGTTGTGGGTGTTGTTGCAGTTGCTGTCGTTGTTGATGGACGCGCTCTTCTGTCGGATCAGGTGCAAGCCCTAGCAGCCTTGCGCAAGGAGTGGGCCGCGCCAATTGCTCGGAGACGTTCGATTTCTCCAGACCGGTGAAGTTTAGGAGTTGGATCGAAGGGTCCGGATGTTAAATGCAGAGACCAGATGAAGCTGGAACACTAAGCTCAGACTGCCCAAGGCGACGCAACGGCAGGGATGATCTCCCCGAGCATCTTGGCACCCTTCGGGATCGCTCGGTCTTGCTCAATGACAGGTTGATTCGGTCAAGAGTTTCTGTTGCCTCTCGATTCATTCAGGGCTTCAGTGCATGCTGAGCAATATAGGACTTAGGAGGTGTGAGTTGCAGTGTGAGTTACTCCTCGTCTTAGCGGCGGCTAGCAGCAGAGAGTGGCTGACGCACGCTGGGCAAAGACAGCAGGAGCGAACGCACTCAACTGGCTGTATGGCTGGGGCTGGGGCTGGGACATGCTGGATGGCATAGAAGGGAGACGACTGCCTTGTAATCGTACAATCCGTCATTCCATGTGGCGACCAATGTCGTTTGTGCATGTGGCTAGTTCAGCGTATTGTTTCCTTACGGCTCCTTCATGCGGCGGCTGAAGCTGCCGCTACCAGTATGAAGAGCGACTGGACAAAGTCTTGCCAAATGCGAACACTCCAACGACAGAAACTTGGGCCATTAATCCCTTGCTGGGTTTAGTTCCGATGAAGCAAGCGCTGGAAGCAACAACCCAGCATCAGATGGTTGGTGCTGAGGTTCATCCGGCTGAGCGCCTTGCGGGTGCTGCAGCACAAGAAGTCCTTGCCTTATGTGACTTCAGTTGAGTGCAGATGGCGCTGCTGTGGGTTGCCGTTGCAAGGTTTAGGGTGCACGGTGGTGTCAATGGCTTCGGACATCAAGAAATGACGGCAACCTACACTCCCGCACGGAGTCGACATTGCATAGCAGGTTCGATGTATCCCGGGCGATAGACCTGATACAGACCTGCCTGGAGGACGCTCGCTTGGGTGTAGTTCTGCTACCTGAACGAAGCACGATTCTGTCATGACTTGTTACAAGGCCAAAATACGAGACAACTGTTTGCCATTGTCGCCCTGTGGCAGCTGCTGTGTCAGCATCTCCCGTGCTGCCTGGTCTTTGCTTCCATCGCTGCAGGATCACTAGGATCTTAGTCTTGAGTTCATGACGCAACATGACTTAAGAATACACAGGCTGCACAGGCTGCAGGCACGGCTCCTGAGCAGGAGCGCGTCCGCAGACTGCCGCTTCAGGAGGCTCGGGACCGGGGAGGGGGCCAGGAAACCCTTCCTATCTCGGAAGAGCATTTGCTTCTTGCTACAGTTGACTGCGTCATTCAAGAAGATATGATGGCGTGCAAGGGAATTGAACGTCTGTACGCTTGAATAACAGGACGTGACCTCTAACGTGCCGTTGTGCATGCGAAGCATGATATAGGACACCAGCACTGCTGCACAAACAGGACCGACAGACCTCCGAGAGCTTTGCTCGTCGTTTATTGAGTCTCCGGAACCATTGCAAGGGTTCCACAAGCCTTTGCAATGCCGTGATAGCCATGCAATTACGACCGGGGGTGCCTTTGTTAGCAGTACTAGTAGTTGCTACACGCACCGCTCTCGCATGCCCGCCAGGCAGACATCTTGCAAGATTTGAGTTGCGGCGCCATGCGGGATCCTTAAAGCCGCAGTGGCTCTGATTCTGGCAGGTCCTTTGTCCAACTCAGGTATTGGCATGGCAGAGACCGCAAGTGCAGACCCTGCCTGGTCGTCCGCATTGAGCGCTTCGCTGATCTCATCAAGGACGCGCTCGCAGAAGTACGACATCGGTCTACATTGTTGAGTGTCCGCAGGACAAGGAGAGGTGCGTTAGAATGACGATCTTCGTTCTAGAGTATGCCATTCGCTACGCCATGGCCGGGAACTCAAAACTCATGCGGCAGCCACCTCACAACAGTTAGCTTGCCTTCAAACCGCATGCCGTACAACTTAGGTTCCTGGCCGGGTCGAGAACTGGGTATCTCTGGCATCATTCTTTTGCCCTTCCACGGCTCCTGTGCCTCTAACTCCCTTGCTCGTAATCTTTGACACACGGCCTTGATAGCTTCAGTGATTCTTCAGATTTCCAGTTTCGCGGCTGCCGCAGCCAGGTAGTTCTGGTGGATTTCGAGAATGCATCGGACGTTGTCTCATTCTTTCAGTTGCCAACCATGTGCCAATTTCTGAGGTCGTTGGCCTTCGGCTTGCCAGACGAAAGTGGCTTTGTTTTGGGATTGCCGGCTCTGTGCAGCTCAGGTCTCACTGCAAAGGCTCTCTCCCAGACACTGGAGAGCGTGTACTGCTGTCGCATGGCTGGGCTCTTGGCATCCTGGAAATTCCCGCAGCCGTTCTTGCCGCTTGTTTCGCTTGTTCTTTCCGTCTCCAGGTGTGGGTGAAGCTCCTGAATCTGCCTGCGGCCTGAGATACATGATACATGGCATCTTGACACTTGCGTGGAGCTTTTTAACACATGAATGTGTCGGAGCAAACCGTTCAGGCCAACGATCTTGCGCAGCATAGTGCAGAGCGTCATACCTGCTGAGAAGAAGAAGAAGGTTTGTGCCATTGAGGAGCCGACCCCGTGGATAGTGAGGGCTCGACCTTTGCAAATCCATCCTCTTCAGGACCCTTCCAAGGAGCTTCTGAAATACTTTGAGCCCAACCAGCTAGAGGCAGCCAGAAACTGGCATCGACGTTGAAATGTGGAACTACCAAGCCAGTAGGTCAGTCAAGCTGTGAGGCAAGATATGGAGGCACACGGCCAGACCTGAAACCACACGAGCCCGGCGCCGAGCTCCGGTTGAGATGTCTGGGAGCGCATATCTCTGTGCTCTGCGTTTGCGCTAAGGACATATCCGTTTCATTTTTTCCCTGACTGCACTGGCTCACCAACGGCATCCGTTCAACCCTCAAGAGCCGAAAAGCAGTATTTTCGGCTCTGTGCTCTGTGGCAAGTGAGCCCCGATCTCTGATTCACTCAGGGTTCCCGCCGGATTATGACTTGCGAGAGTGATCGCAGCACAGCCAGTACAGAGAGCGGGCAAAGCACTGCTGCAAGCAGTGAAGAAGTAGCCTGCTTGGCCGACATCTCAGTTGTCGTGCAGTCGCTCTGCCGTGTGCCTTTCACTCTCCTTGAGGCCAACCTTGAGCCTGCGACCTCGCTGCATCATCTTACAGGACTAATCGGATCTTGCGAGGCTGCGAGGCCTATGCCTGGCTGGGCTTCCCCAGAGCTGTCACCGAAGGACGCAAGTTTCACGAGGGACAACTTTGGGATACGAGCGTCGGACTCCCGTTTCTTATTTTACTGCGCTTTCACGTTAGAGTCATAGTATGTCATAGTCGCAGACAGTCGCAGTGGCTTATAAAGGTCCGGGACCGGTGGAGCGCAGACGCGACGAAGTCCAGCTTGACGCGGCAAGCCGCACAGGCACGACTCGGCACGACTCGGCACGACTGCACGCCAAGTCCTCTGGCTGGTTGTCGCTTCTGTGAGCAGAGAATTTCGACGCTCGCAGGTGCTTTCCGCGATGTTGGAGCAGGAAGTCCTGCCTTGCTGCACGATGCAGCAGTGGAAGGCGCTGAAGAGCGAATTCGGCCAACTTTTTCTGCCTGCGCTTGTGTATGGCTTTGGAGGAATTAGCGGCTTGCGAAGGAACGAAGAAGCAGGACCTTGGGTTCTCAAGGCTGTAGCCAACGTCGACTATGAAGCTGGCGAGTCACAAGAGAGTCATAAATCATAGAGCATCTCCACACACGATGGCACTTCAGTCTGTCAGCGCGCTGAACCCGCAGGAGGCCCCTGCAGTTCTTCTCGGCAGCCAGGTGCATGCCGAGATCTTGTGTTATCTATGTAAACGGTCCTGCAGCAGAATATGCTCATTGACGGTACACTGCTATGTAGCACGTTTTTGACAACATGTCTTGGTGACACAACGTAGTTGGACAGCCTTTTGAAGTTACGATCCACCCTCGCTGCTGGGAGAGCTGCGGATGTAATCTGGAAGGCTATCGCAAGGTCAAAAGAACCTGCTGAGACAGCCATCCCGAAGGCAGGGCCTCGATTTGAGCATCGACATGTTGCAGCTCGTGTGCAGGGCGAGCATTCAAAATAGCGCATACGTCTCTCGCATCTGACATCCTGGCCGGAATCCTCCCTGCATAGGAGAGAAGGCAGCTTTCTCAGATGCTTTGCAGCAAGGAAGGGCTTCTCAGTCGGGTTTCGTCCCGCCACCCCGTAGGCAACAGTCGCTGTATAGAGTCATGCAAGTTCCACTGTGATGAAGGCATTCTGGACCGGCTTACCGATCGACCTTACCATACTTTACATACATTCCAGGTTAAAGCCATCCGGGTGCGAATTGCAAGCAGAAGATCCCTGTGTTAAGGACGGACATTATCCGAGAGAGGCGGACGGAACTTATTTCGCTGTAGACGATTCTGGGCTGCAAAGCTCGGTTGTGGGGATTTGGGACTCTGGCTTTCACCGGCTGGACGCTAAGGCCCGGACCGAAGAGCCAATGTCCCCAAGGTGATCTGGGAGTCGCAGCCAACCTGTCAAAGACCCAGTCCGAAGCGCCCCTGTGGGGCCTGTGGCTGACGACTCCTTGCACTGTTCACCGTTGGTGGCCTGTCTCCAATGCCATTCGCAGCCGCAACTGAGTATGCAGACGTCACATAATTTAGGAGCATGGGGGACGACATGCCATGCCGTGTGCCACCGTACATTCTGCAAGTCGAGACATGTGGGAATTTGCATGTTGTAACTGAGTCCGAAGAAAGCATGATCGTGCGATGTTACCGTTGCATCGTGCTTGCAAGTTATGCGGCTTGTAATCTGTTGGGCACCGCCACGAGCCCAGAGAGCAAGTACTAATGGTACAGTTTACTCTGTTGGAACGGGAGGGCAGTATGGTTATGCTGATCGGGCGTCTCTGCTGTCGACCTGTGGAGACAGACTGCTGCAAGAAGTTGCTTGAGGCCTGGCTGTTTTCTCTCCTGTCCTCTTTCTGCACTGCTCGGGCTCGTCGTGGTACGAGTCCACGAACTTGTGGTTGAAGGAAGCGGCTGCAGATGCTTGGTTCTTCCCAATGGCACAGAGTCATAGATGCTGGTGCATGTTGGTGTGCATCTGATGCCGATTGAGACACCTTCGTTCCACAATGGGCCGTGGCCAGGAGCAATGAGAGCCAGCAAGTGTGCCCTTACGTGAGTTGCACCAGGTAACTTCAATTTCCAATGCAGGTTAAAGTCATCAGTGAAGAGATTCCTAGCACCCAGCTCCATGTAGGAGAATGGTAGTGCTAACGGCATGTGCGGCAATGTTGCGTCTCGTTGCATTGATGTCATGGCCTCCTTGCGCTTTTCAATAGCCCCTCCGCTTCTCATCACTTTCCTACTACTTGCTTCCAACTACTTTCCAGCTTCAGGGGATAGCTACAGACTGAAGCTTGCAGCTTAGCATGCTGCTACACAGTTGACCGGGTGTTCAATTGTCCAACGCAGGAACCGGCACATTTTGCATGTTGCGTTGTCCGGACATTATGATCTATATCCATGGCGCGGAGGGACCATACATGAGCAGTCAGCACCGCTTTCGACGCTGGATTTAGGGATGCTGCCAGGCAAGGCTACCACGCTGTGGCTTCGTATTCCTGCATTCGAAAAGCAGTGAGCCTCCAAAAGCCAACGACAATCAGCGGCGTGTCTTTCATTGCACCCTTCCTGTCGAAGCTTTTAAGGGTTCTAAAGCCCACACTCTCTATTTAGTGCGCGGCCCCTGTACACGTTTCCTCCACGCCGAGTGGAGGAAATTCCTCGTACTGACATCAAGGACCTGAATGTGTTGATTGATAAATCTAGACCCCAAACTTCAAATGGCAAGTTCTCGTCGATCTCGAAGACCAAGACATAATAAGAAGGCCATGTGACAGCCAGTTGTTGGTGCTTTTGCAGCGAAGTAGCACCACTAGATGCTCCCGTTGTACCTGTGCTTGTGCGAAGCCTTGCAAGATGCGCGTGGTAGCTGAGCAAGCCTTTTGGCGTGCTAGCATGCTAACGATGCAATTTTGGTGCATGTTGTGAGGTCGTCCATGTCCGGCAATGCGATTTAGGGTCCATGTGCCTCGTGCGTATCCAATGTACACATGGCAGACCTTTGCGAGTCCTGGCATCCAAGAGTGATACCAGAGACGGAAAATGCAGCTGTGTTTATGTGTAGCAGAGTCCTGCTGTAGTCACGATGCCATTGTCCTAGTCCATGTGGCGGCATCAGAAATACCTCTTCACGTGCCGTTGCCGCAAGCACACTTACCGTGCCGCGCGGCATCTGAAGACTGATTATTCTGTCCGGTTCAGGCTTAGCTTTTGCATTCAAGTGACTGGGCAAAGCCTGACGAAATGTCCATGCGCAGCCGATGCCGCAATGCCGAGCTAGCCCTCGTACGCTGATTCAGATGCAGAAGCTTTACAGACCCCGCGAACGGCATCCGACCATTTGGGTCATTTAGCGAAGTTGTCTCACCTCTTAATTGGCGTCAAAAGACCAGAGTAAGGACGCAAGCGTAGACACCCACCGCTTATCGAGTTGCTGGTCCCGAAGACGCAAAATCTCTGAACCATTGGCTCGACTTTTCCACGACACGCAGCAATGTGGCGTTTCATGGGAAAACCGCGAATTGCATCAATATGTGGAACCTCACACTGATTTCTCCGAATGCCCGTGACACATACCTTCAAAAGTGCATTTCCTTGCTGAGTTGATGAAGGCATCAGCAACTTTCTGGAAGCGGACCGTGGCTCCGTTCGTGGAAATGGCATGTCATGTTTTTGTCGCAGAGTACCAGGGTCGGGCGTATACTGCATTCGTGGTAGCTCATTCTTTGGCACCTGGAAACCCACCCGCGGCCGGTGAAGCCAGGTCGTCGAACGAAATCCACGATGCCGATCAGTTCCCAACTTCCCGGGCTTTGATCCGGCGCGGGACAGGACAGCGCAGAAAGGGCAGCTTTCTCGGCCACATCGGCAGCTCAGATATTGGAAAACCAGAAGATAGTTTTGCGGGGCCTCTCCTCCCATGATGCACCAGGAACTATTTCGACTGGCGGCCAGCCACCGCAGCTTCAAGGTCGCATCCTGAGTGTTGTTATTACTTTTTCTTCTGGGTGGTGCAGTCTTCTGCTCCTGTGCATCGGCTACCTACAATAGCGGTTCAATCGCGATTACCGTTGCCATGGCTGTCAATGTCAAGCTAGTGGTCATGATGACGGCTATGAGTCTGTGAGACCTTTCTGACATCCCGAGCAGACAACATCGCGAGCACTAAGAGAACGGTCGCTGTGTTGCATGGTGCCGCTCTTCTCTTGCTTTGTCACCTGCTTTGTCACACAGACAAGCTTCCGCTAAGTGAAACGTGTGGACAGCTTGAGGACATCGAACAAATCGACGACATCCTCAATGGCCCCACAGAGGGTTGGCCAGGCGAGTTGGGCATGGGAGAAGGCAGAAAAGAGGCTCGTCTTTGCAGCACACTTTGAGAGCCAGGCCCAGTTGATGACAATGGACCGTCCTGGAAGCAGGCGCGTTTTCTTAGGCGTAGTTGTACAGGGACTTGTTTCTCCCTCGCAGGCCGACTACCGGGCAGCATTTCTGACAGTGAGGCACTGCCAAGAGCAACTCTGTAGATCGTTCGTCAAGCGACAGGCAACCTCTTTCGACACATCTTTCTCCAGTGAACCCCGTCACACTGCTGCCACCTTTTTCCTACGTCCCGAAGGGTGCTATGGCGATTGCAAGATCTGACATCTGCTGCAGACACTTATGGGCCGCAGTAGTCGTGGTTGTCCTGCAGATCTTTGACGAAGGCACCAGCTAAGCATGATGTAACAGATCTTGTCGCCTGTAGGTGAGGCAGTATGATGAGTTCGCTGCAAGTGTGTCCCATGCTTTTCCTGAGCTTGTTCCGTGCTGTGAAGGTTGCCGCCCATAGCCGCATAAATGTGACTAAGACGGATCAAGCTCTCCCGGCGTGGACACTCTATTTAGTATCTGAGCGGCTCGCATGCCCACAAACAGTGGCAGCATTGCGAAGTGGTGATGCATGGCAGTGCATGACAAAGTCCAGACCAGCTCCGTCATAACAACAACAATCTAAGAAGCCCCTAGCTGCTGGCTGTTGACATCCTGGAATATTCGTTGCGGAAGTCACTGGTTTCGCCAGCCGCCTGCCACGTCCGCTGTGGCGAGTGATCCGGCTCCCAGCATCTTAGCAGCCTGCGCAACTCCGGTAGTCAAGGCAAGATCTACAGGGTGCAAAGCCAAGTTCAAATTTCCATAGCTTCCGTCGAAGTTGACCCGATCCGCAACCCAGGCAGCCTCCTTGTTGGTGGCTGGTGGCACTTTCCCAGGGCCATGATCGGAATGAAGAGCCAGGAATTGACGTGATCAGTGCCCATTCAAGGCTTCTGCAGCACACTGTCTGCTGCGAGGACTGGCCAACAATTCATCAGCCTGAGACCTAGTTCTCTCATGTTTCCTCCCATGCACAGGTTTCAGCAAAGCTCACACTACGGCTCACGCTCCTGAACTTTGCCAAGACATCGACACGCATGGACAAGTGTCGGAGCACAGATGCATGCACGCAGACATACATACTTGCAGTCATTCATAATTACAGATATCTGTCTCTGTCCCCTCTCCATCTCCCTGTTAGTCCATCTTTCTCTCCTGTCTATCTATCTGTCTGCCTGTCTATCTATCTATCCATCCATCTATCTATGGGTCCATCTACATGGAGAGTGCTGTTGTTCAAGTGAGCATCTGCTCAATCGACATGGCTGGTTGCCGGAACCAGCCGCAAGCGCAGCGCAATGAGCCGCCTCAAGCCAGGTCACCAGAGATGCAGGCACTGCGTGACTATGTCACAGCAGCTGATGGCAGCAGATACGCAAACCAGGTCCGATGCCACACAGAAAGACCGAAAGCCATGCAAGTTTCGACCTCCAGGCAGCATCAACCCTGCGCCTCGATGTCACGCACTCGAACCTGGTCCAGCGGTGGCATGACCTGATTTTCGACGCTGGCATGACAGCACGGGCCTTGTGACCCTGGAGTCCCGGCTGATCGCCGCAGCCGAGACCTAGGTGAGCAGAGTCAAGGAAAAGTCGGAAGCTCGATCTGGGTCGGGAAATGTCGTCTCTTAGTGCTTGCAGTTGCGAGGCATCACGATCTTGACGTGCGCTCAAGCCCTCAGGCTTTACTCCCATGGCGGAACGCCTGCCGCAGATCAGGCCTTGGGCAGTGACAAGTTCGGGAAACGCAGACAGACACATCCAGCTACAAGCAACAGTCAGAGTACATGTCTTATGTGCGTGAAGACAGAGAGGGCTGCTGCTCCTGCTGCTACGTGCGGCAGCTTTGATCCCTTCCAGCCTCTC